CATCTGCTGGGTTTCTCCCTAATCGGCTATGATGAGAGGTCAATATTCTGCTCTCTTGCATGAGCTTGCTTATGGCTTTTTATTAACTGTTAGTCTTGCTTCACTTTTTACCCCAAATTTATTTAATTTTTGTATAGCTTCTGTTGATAGAATATTGCAAAAATATTTTTATGCATTTGTCATTGATGTAATTGTGAATGAAAGTTAAATGTTAATTGGGAGTTTTTAGTGCAGCTCTAATTGTGAGGACACATTTTAATTCACAATGCAGTATCAAGTACGAGTATTAATTAGTTTATTCAATACAATTTGTGGTTTTGAAATAACAGTAATACTGCATAAATAATTAAAGAGATTTAATATTTATCAAACCTTTCATTTCTCTTTCTCACTCCTTTTTCTTCTGTTTACTCTGCACCTCTTATCCCTAATTTTTTCTTCTTTACTCGTCACATCTCCTCCACCTCTTTTTCTCGGATCTCTTTGTGACCATGTGTAATATACTGTAAATAGAGCACATCTCTTTAAAACCCTCATGGGTGTATTACTTCTTGTATATAATACATTTATTTAAATTTATAACTACTTGTGGGATTTGAATGGGCAGCCTGAGTCTCCCCATTCCTACAAATTAACCACTCTTATTGGTGATTATAGTCATTAATGCAGTGGTTACTGGCCTAGGAACTCTGAGGCTCAATTTGAATCACCCTGAGTGCAATACTCCCAAAAGTTTCCATACATGGCTTAACATTACAGAAAATACATGCTTTCAATGTTAATTACCGTATTTGGGGTAAAGAGTGTTAGCAATATCTTGATGTACATTTGATAATATACACGATGTCAGCCATTCCATAATTAGCAGTTTGTATATGTATTTAGTATACACGTTACCAAAAATTTGAAACAGTAGTTTGTTTTTCTCCTTAAGGAGGTCAGTCAGGAAAATGTGTTATGGTGTCAATTGTTAAACATTGCCACACTAAATAAAAGCATCTGTGGTGTGTAGCCACCTGATCCAATTATTTCAAGCAAATTGGAATTCTCTAATTTCTATTGTAAGATATGTATTAGTTTGAATTTTGGTGAGCAGTCATGATGCAAGCATCTACCCTCCTTCCGCGTTATTTAACTTGTGATGCTAATGAAAACAATCCACTTTCAACTACATTAAACACAACAAGAAAAGTATCTAATCACCTCACTTTATTCCAGGAAATTAAAATTCTCAGCACAAGTCTGTGTGGTTAATGAATCCTGTTAACTTGTATTTGAAATAAACACTATAACATTAATTTCATGTTTAAGATAATTGTCTTCCTCTTAGCCTTTGCTGAACTGCATGTATTATTCTTCATTAACCTATGTGAAACCTAAACTAACATCATAGTTGTTTTTGTAATTTAACCCTTTAACTGTATCTGACATACTAGTATGCACCATTTTTTGTACCCACAAATCTGCCACCTGCCAGTATTTTTTTTCATGTCAGGGCAACTCTGGGTCTTCCATCTATCCATTCATACATTTGAAAAAATTTAAGACCAGCAGGGTCCACACAATGTATAATGGGTAACTATTCAATGGATAACTGTATGTCCGACATACTAATATGCTTCGCAAGAGTGAATTTATTACAATTTCATGATACTAACAGTGGAATTCAGCCATAAAACACTAGGAATAACCCAGCACTTTGAATAATTTCCATGTTTTGATGAGTAATACACTGAAATAATTGTAATGTTGTAAGTATTCATTATAGCATTAGAAGACCAAAATAATAAAAAAAAAGTCATACTGTATATATACTGATTATTCCAAGTGAAGCCATGTTTGAAGTGCTAAAATACCTAGGAAGACATCTAATATTATAAAAAAAATAGTATATATAGTATTAACCCTTTGAGGGTTTTGGCCGTAGTACGGCTTACGACCCAGGGTTTTTGACGTACTAGTACGCCTAAATTCTAGCGCCCTCAAATCTAGTGGGAGAAAGCTGGTAGGCCTACATATGAAAGAATGGGTCTATGTGGTCAGTGTGCACAGTATAAAAAAAATCCTGCAGCACACAGTGCATAATGAGAAAAAAAAACTTCGTTTTTTTTTAGAATAAAACAGCGACTTTGCACTGTATTTTCGTATGGTATTTATTGTTGTATTCTAGTTTTCTTGGTCTCATTTTATAGAATGGAAGACATATTACAGAAATTCAGATGATTTTGACTGGTTTTACAATAAAAAGTACCTTGAAATTGAGCTCAAAGTAGCAGAAATGTTCGATTTTTACCAAAGTTCAAAAGTAAACAAATCATGCCAAGCGTCCAATACATGTCAAATGGTGAGTCTAATATTCTTTCGCAAGTGCGCCAATATTATTTATACCATTTTTTACACTAATGTAGTAGTCTGCATAACAGTAAATCTTCTATTTTTTGTGAGAATAAAAATTCAAAGTGGAAAGCAAAAGAATATAAGAGGGGCCTTGAGATGTGACTAATGAACAGAGGAAATGTCATTTTAGTGCCAGGAATGTCTTTCTTGTTTATTCTGGACCCTATTCGGAAATTGGCATCTTTTGAAATTTGTGTGAAATTGGCAAAATTGCTAAATTCTGACCACTGTACTGAATAGTTGAAATTGATAAATGGGTGGTTTCTTGCACTCATTCGATAGAAAAAGTGGAGTTCTAGCGAAATATTCATGTTTTTTGCGGACTAGTACAGTGGAATTGGCCGAAAATGGGGCTCAAAGTGGGCAAAATCGCCGATGCGTAAACATCGCCGAGACCGCTAACTTCGCGAGAGCATAATTCCGTAAGTTTTCCATCAAATTTCAACCTTTTGGTGTCATTATGATCGGGAAAAGATTATCTATCTTTTCATAAGAGAATTTTTTTTTTTTTTTTAAATTTGGCTGACCCTGAGAACGAGTCTCGGAGAGGGCCTGTCGACCCTCAAAGGGTTAAACATTTAAAAGCAATTAAGAAATTAAAAATCTTAGTGTAAAATGTAAACATTGCTAGCGCTTTAACTCCGCTGGTGCCGGTTAGTGATCATTTTGTCACCAACTTCAACACACCATAAAATCATGAGTTTTTATCAGATTCCACTCATTTTTTGCCTTATTCAATTTGGAAAAATAAACTTCATTAAACTGTAAGATTTTTTTTTTTAATATTTCCACACAGGCAGGCATTTTTTTTTGCCAGGGTCTCCTACAGTTAAAGGGTTAATAGCTAGTATTAGTGCTCAGCATTGGAAGCTGCTGATCCTCTTGGCTGCTTGCCCACACACAAGTCTCTTATACTGCAAAAGAAAGGCAGAGTTTCATCTATTCTGAATACTTGTTGCAGTGTGTAGCCACATTCTTCACTTATTTAAGGGGAAATAGAATTCTGCATGCATAGTATCTACTTGGAGAAACATTACTTGGATTTGTGATTGTTCATGTTGATATTAGCAAAACATTAGCTCCTCATATTATCACAAGCTCAATCATTGTACAAGTTGTGTATTTTTTATTTGCACTTACAAAATCATCATTTTCTTTGGGAAAAGGGGAAGGGGAAATAGACAAAAGAAAATGGCAGATTAGGTGGATTTTTCCATAAAGTGTAGACCTTGCTCTGGTAGTCTAGATATGTGAGTTGATTTAATTTATTTCTGTGTATGGAGAAATGATTGACAAATATGACACCATAATCACATTTTTTTTCTGAAATAGACCTACAGAATACTAGCTGAATAATGCCACTGAAAAGTTTGTTGGTAAACATATCAGTCATTAATATACTGTAGATTGAGGCAGGGAATATGATATAATCAAACAATGTGTGTGATGCAGCAGATGATTACCCTTGCAGCAAACAAATGTAGTCTAGTCGTATTGGTGTAAAAACAATAATGCTAGTTTCATTGTAAGTTCCTGAACCTCTTTTAAATGCCATGATAAAGTTAGCTTTTTTTACTAAAACTATTTCACACTGCAGGTCATCTTAGACACAAAGTTTCTCCATTAACTTTTAAAATTTTAAGTTATCAATTTTAATTTTTCATTGTTTTTCAGTGTTTCTGTTAAAGCTCTTTTGTTTGTATAAATATTGAGAAAACTACCCCTTTATCAGTGGGATCTTGTAGGCAAAATAAAAAAAGTGCTGTGGTATTTGACACTATGATAGAGAAATATACATGTAGCACCAAGACAGAATGAGCACATGATGTAATAGACATGTATATACGTCTTTGACATTTACCTCTGTTGCCCTTTGCCATTTTCTTTTTTACAGCAGGTTGGTTCATAAGACTACTATGAAGCAAAATTTCTTCCAGTATTGAAAACGTTTTGCATACACACAGCTAATGCTGGCGTAATGCTCACCTGCATGTAACATAACTATTACCTACATAATACAACGTCCTTTAAAGAAGTGACCACAAAAAAAAATTTATCTTTAGCAAAGTTTGCATGCATTTAAGTAGGTTCCATTGTTTAGATACCTGTTTTAAAAAATGTAATCATCCCGTACTTCTTCCATTGATTTTCCTCTTATTTCCAACTTGCTTTATTCATGTGTTTACCATACTTCTACTTCATATATTGACCCCAAGTTGAGCATGGGAGAGGGTTGATGAGCGTTTAAGTGTTTGTGTGTGCGTGTGTGTTTGTTTCCCCTGAAGCAAGGCAACATTCTCTTGTTTTTCACAACTGCTTGCAGTGTCAAGACGTGCTGGTTCTGCTGGACGTAGAGACATTTCTTTCGTTAATTTACTGATTTCATGAAACTTGTTTGATTTATGATGTAGCATTTCCAGGATCTTTTATTACTGTTGTCTGAGGTATATAGTACAGTATATAATAGCAGTGAACTCTTCATGAAAAGGAGACTGAGTTTTAGGGCTAGGGCATCTTGCAGGTTTATGTGAGCATGTTATGTAGGAGTGAATAGAGATGAGTGGTTTTTAATGTACATGTTGTGTGAGCAAGGTAACATTTATAAAGGAATTCAGAGAAACTGGGTAGCTGGACTTAGTCCTGGAGGTTGGAAGGGCAGTGCCTGCACTTGGAAGGGTGAGGATGCTGTTGTTGGAGGGTAATTTGAATCGAGATGCTGGCACACTTATGGTAAGGCAGCTATTGAATAAATGATGGTGAATACATTTCCTTCTTTGGGTCTTCCTGCCAAGGCAGATAGCCATTGAATTAAAAAAAAAAATCCTGAAAAAGTAATTTCCTGCTACTTTGATGGTTAATATCTTCATTTGTGAGGCACCAAGGCTTGTAAATATTTTCAGTAGAGATAACTTTGACACTTTATTCCCAAAATGGTCACTTGATGTAAACCAAATCTCAGCAAATCTGCTGTGTGTTTTCTAATATATTGCAGTGTTTTCCACTGTGGTGTAAATTCATTTTGCCAAGTTCAGGGGTAAGTGGCAGTGATATATTGAGCTATGACTAATGATGAGCACATCAGTTATCCACTCTAAAATGTGGATTTAGCAATACATTCTTGCATAAATTTTTCCTCACCTACTCTTATCCTCTCACTGCTATGTACGTTATCTTTTACACCATAGCAGTAGTAATATTTTATCATAGTCTGACAAAGTACTGACTATAATAATTCATATTTTTCCAAGTTCATCAACAATGATTTTCTAGAAAATATTTTATAATTGTGATGGAAGATATGGGAAGAAGTACGCAGGTTTATATTTGACTCTACTATATTTACACTTTGTACTTTTCATACATTTCATTTACATTTCATACTTGTCATGGAATCTTCTTGCCATCATGTACTTATTTGCTTTATAGACTTTAATATTTGTGACAGCTTGGTTTGCTTTTGCTTGTTACTAAGTGTTAACAATGTAGTGTTGACACATTTACACTAAGTTTACATTTTACTAATCAAACTATGGTTTTCTGGTAAGAATTTAAGCAAATGTGTCTTAAAATTCAACAATATTTAATTAACAAAACCCACTTTCTGAAAGTATTCTTTATTCTTGAAATCTTTTTTAATCCTCCATTGAAGTTTTAAATGATAGTCTTTTAGGTTGTGCAAATATCTTGTTACTTCTTCACTGAGAAATTTAATTTGTGTTACTTATATCCTGAAATGCTCTTAACAAGCTACATACAGTACTCAAAACCCTTTGATCTTTCCTTTGTATTGCTTTGTATATGGAAAAAAAAATTAGATTGACAACCAGTTGTGTGTAAAAATAGTCATAAGACACAGTGCAGATTTCATATCTACAATTTTTCAAACATAACACTCTTTAATACTAATAACAAATATCCTTGTAGATCTTCCATGATGGAGGGATCAGGAACACTGGAGCAGCAGCTGGAAGCTACAAGACAGAAAGCTGCTGAAGTTCGAGCTCGCCGTGTGGATCTTAAGAAGATTGAGGATTTGGGACAAATTCTTGAGGAACATCTAATTTTGGACAACAGATACACTGAACACAGGTTTGCTACCTGCTTTTCTTTATTATTTTTGCCAAGTGAAGTATGTATTGACAATTTTCAAACAAATCTGTTTTAAATAAGCTTTATATATCTGGGCATAGGGATTTGAAGGTGTTGTGGGGCCTCCAAGGGTAGAATTCAGAGCAGACAAGGGGTTGTTGAGGTATTTAGGCATGTAGAGAGGATGCAGAGGATAGGTTAACAATGAGGGTGTATAAATATCTGGGGTGGGCTGTAGGAGGAGTATGGGTCATTCCAGGAATGCTTGTTGGGAGTGAGTTATAAAAGAGGGTTTGAGTTTCTGGCTTGAACATCAATCAGCTTGTATGAATGAAGTGAATTGAGACAAGTGGGTTTTAATGTATATGCTGTTGGAGTGTGAGCAAGTTACTTATGAAGGGATTTAGGGAAACCAGATAGCCGGCTTTGATTCCTGAAGGTGAGACGGATAAAGCCTACTCTCTGAAGCCGGGGTGGGGATATTGCAGTTTGAATTGTGATGTCGGTGCACTTTTGGAAGAACAATAGAATAAATAATGGTAAAGGTGTTCTATTCTTTGGGCCACCTTGCCTTGGCAGGACATTGCTGTTGAATTAAAAGAGAGAGAGAAAAAAAAAAAAAGCTTGTTTTCAGTGACACCACTCAAGGATTACAGGATGTGTTAATCATGGTTGTAAGTTGTTTGGCAAATTTAATATGCATTTTTGCCATAAATATTATTCATGTTTTGCTGAAAATTTCCAGCCAAGACAGGACTCGCAGCAATAGTTTCAAGTTGGAAAAATTCAGATTCAGAAAGGATATAGGAAAGCACTGGTTTGGTAATAGTTGTGGATGAGTGGAACAAACTCCCGAGTACAGTTATTCAGGCTAAAACATTGTGTAGTTTTAAAAATAGGTTAGATAAATACATGAGTGGGTGTGGGTGGGTGTGAGTTGGACCTGGCTAGCTTGTGCTGCTGGGTCTGGTGCAGTTCTCCATCCTTGAGTGGAGATGATCAGACTGGGTGGGTCAGGCTAATCCGGGGGGGACATGGACCTGCTCCGCATGAGTCAGTAGGCCTGTTGCAGTGTTCCTTCTTTCTTATGTTCTTACAAGGGATAAACTGATGCAGAATTTTGGCACCTGCAAAGGTCAAGAAGCTGATGTTGCTCTTGCATCATTTGCATACTAGGACCAGCTTACCAATGCTCTTATCATGGATCATTTATAGTGCTGCTGTTCCTCATAGCATGTTCCACTTGTTATACAGTAGAGTAAAACCTTGTATTAATGGACCCCTTTCAATGGTTTTTGAAACTACGGACAAAAAGTTGACTGGACAAACGTAATCACCAAACAATATGGGAAAAAGTTAATAGACCCAGTATTTTGTCTGTAGTGATAGTGTCTAGGAGTCTTGTAAATAAGTGGATAAGTCCATTGATTTCGATGATTGTCTGGTACGGGCCAGTGTCCATATCGGTGACCCATCTGTCTTCAGTGTTCCTAAAGCCATAAACTGCCTATGTCGGTTTTTGTATCCACTCACACATACAATTTGTTCGGTGTTTTGTGTGACTTATTAACATGTTAATTGCAATTAACAGTGGTTTCTAAAGCAAGTGGTGCTGCCATAAGGAAATGTGTGAATCTTGGTGTTTAGCAGAAATTTTAACTTGCCTGGTAAGGAAGGTGGCATGGGTATGTTATGAATGTGATGTTAAACAGTGTTTGATACCCATTGAAACAAGGACAAATGTACAGACTATGCTGTTAAGTTTATTATAGATTCTAATGGAGCATTCCATTTCATCTCTCCACCACATATGGCAAGTAAATCTACTATACCGTCCTCTACTGTATATGTACAGTACAGTGGTACCTCAAGTTTCAAACAGCTCCCAACTTGAACAGTTATTCGAGTGTATTTTTGTAAGTGCTTTTGCAAGTATATTTTTGGGGGTCTGAAACAGACCAATTTACATTAATCCTCATGGGAACAAATTCATTTGGTATCGGCACTCGAACAGCCTCCCGGAACAAATTAAGTTCGTAACTCGAGGTACCACTGTACATTGTACTTGCAGCTTCATTTTTATTGATTACAGTAGTACTGTAAAAGTTAGTATTCTTTGTGTCTGGTAGTCTTCTGAAGCAACAGACCAGGTCCACTGATTCTGAACCTTGTCAGTTTATGATCACGAAAAATTAACTTTATAATTCAGAATCTACGGACAGTCAACAATAATGTACACCCTTTTCCCCTGTTAGTCCATTATTTGGAGGGTTCATTGTAATTTTTTTTTTTTAAGATGGTCCTTCATGCATTATTGTAGGATTTATTAGGGATAAATCCATATGGTTATTAGTACATGTATTATAATTTTATTGCAGTACGGTAGGGTTGGCACAACAGTGGGATCAGCTGGATCAGTTAGGGATGCGCATGCAGCATAACTTGGAGCAGCAGATTCAAGCCCGCAATCAGTCAGGGGTGTCTGAGGACGCCCTAAAGGAATTCAGTATGATGTTCAAGGTTAGTATTATTTTTTTTTTTTTTATAAGAAATGAAATTTAAGTAATTTTTTTTTTTAGTCACAGAACTTACCTGTTGCATGCATATTTCCAGTTTTACTTTTATTATAGATTCCATTCAAGTTCTGTATAAACCAATACATATTAATGTGCCATTCAGACAGAGCTACCTAATAGGCAGTTTTAATGATAAAGTAATTTTCTGTTGATTAGGGAAGAAGAATAGCAAAATTTTTTACTGATACTCAGTTTTATACCGATACCATAAAAATTAGCTAATACCCATCAGTACTGTCAAAATTATCCAATACCCACTGAAACCAACACCTTGGTATACCCCTGGTATTGGTATATTGTATTCAGGTCAGGTGCATAAACATATCAAGTGTTAAATATGCACCTCAAATATATTTTAGATATTATAGTTGAACCACACCTAGCATGGTTAACCCTTTCAGGGTTTCGGCCATACTAGTACGGCTTACACCCCAGGGTTTTTGACGTACTAGTATGCCTAAATACTGCGCACACTGACCACATAGTCCTGTTCTTTCATATGTAGGCCTACCAGCTTTCTCTCACTAGATTTGAGGGTGCTAGAATTTAGGCATACTAGTACGTCAAAAACCCTGGGTCGTAAGACGTACTAGTACGTCCGAAACCCCCAAAGGGTTAACCCTTTGACTGTTTCAGTCGTATATATACGTCTTACGTTTGACGTATATATACTCATAAATTCTAGCAGCTTCAAATCAAGCAGGAGAAAGCTGATAGGCCCACATGTGAGAGAATAGGTCTGTGTGGTCAGTGTGCACCATATAAAAAAAATCCTGCAGCACACAGTGCATAATGAGAAAAAAAAAAAACTACGACCAATTTATTATTTTTTTTTTTTAATTAAAATGCCGACTTTGTGGTCTATTTTCGTTAGTATTTTTGGTTGTATTCTTGTTTTCTTGGTCTCATTTGATAGAATGGAAAAAGTATTATAGAAATAGAGGTGATTTTGATTGGTTTTACTATGAAAAGAACCTTGAAATGGAGCTCAAAGTAGGGGTAATTTGATTTTTGTTGATGTTCAAAAGTAAACAAAATGTCATTGTACAATAAATATCCAACTAGCCATTCTAATATGCAGTCATGAATGGGTTGACATTATTTATACAGTTATTACAATATTGCCATAGTCTGCATAACAGTAAGTCTTCTATTTTTTGTTTGAATAAAAATTCAAAATAGAAAGCAAGAGTAATATCAGAGGGGCCTGGAGACATGACTGATGAATAAAGAAAATGTTATTTTAGTGCCAGGAATGTCTGCATTGTTCATTCTAGACCCTATTTTGAAATTGTCGTATTTTTTAATTTTCATGAAATTGGCCAAATTGCAAATTTCTGACCATGTTATTGGGTAGTTGAAATCGGTAAATGGGCAGTTTCTTGTACTCAATCCATAGAAAAAATGGAGTTCTAAAGAAATATCTATGAGTTTGGTTGACTGGAACAATGGAATTATCCGAAAATAGAGCTCAAAGTGGGCGAAATCGCCGATTCATAAATATTGCCGAGGTCGTTAACTTCGCGAGAGCGTAATTCCGTCAGTTTTTCGTCAAATTTCGTTCTTTTGGTGTCTTTACCATCAGGAAAAGATTCTTTCATCGTAAGAATTTTTGTTTTTTCTCAATTTTTCGACACCAGAAGACACCTCAGGATTTGGGGTTGCGATAGTCAAGGGGTTAAAGATAGGTTAATATTAGTAATATTGTTGAAAATGGTATTATTAAATTTAAGTGCAGACCAGTTTTTGTTGATTCAATACAGAAATGGAGCCAGTATACTGTATGGCCTATTGGGGAAGGGGAAATGGCCTATTAGTTACTTGGTATATTGGCATATTGTATGCCTTGCAGAGTAGTGAGGCACCTTCCCATCTCAATGCCTTCTACATTATTTGTTACCCTTTGACACTAAGTCACCTTAATCCTTTCAGTGTCTGTGCTGTAGTATTATGGGTTTGAGGTTGCTGTCGGTGCCGTGTACTGTGGGCTTGAGGTCACTGTCGGTGCTGTAGTATTATGTCATGAGCTCACCTCACTCAGATAAGCTGTGAATGATAAATTTGGACCTAGATATAAAAGAATTGGTCTATGCAGTAAGTTTTTTTTTTTTATTTTTTATTAACACTGGCCGATTCCCACCAAGGCAGGGTGGCCCGAAAAAGAAAAACTTTCACCATCATTCACTCCATCACTGTCTTGCCAGAAGGGTGCTTTGCACTACAGTTTTTAAACTGCAAGTAAGTGTGCACCATATAAAAAATCCTGCAGCAAGCAGTGCATAATGAGAAAAACTGACAGTTTTTGGTTTAAAACAGCAACTTTGTGGTGTATTTACATGTGGTTTTTATGGTTCTATTCTTGGATTCTTGGTCTCATTTGATAGAATGGAAGATATGTTACAGAAACTGACATGATTTTGATTGGTTTCAGGACTGAAAATAGATTTAAATTAAGCTCAAAGTAGCAGGAATGTTCGATTTTGCCAATATTTGAGTAAACAAATCACATCACTCGTCCAGTATGCGTCCAGCTGGTGGGTCTAATAGGCGCTAATGAGTGCGGATATTATTTATACAATTATTACAGTATTGCATAACAGTAAATCTATTTTTTGTGTGTGAATTAAAAATAAAAATGGAATTTAAACGTAAAGCCTGGGAAAGTAACTAATGAACAGAAAATGTTATTTTAGTGCCAGGAATGTCTGTATTGTTTATTCTGGACCTATTTTGAAATTTGTGAAATTGGCCAAATTACCAATTTCTGATCACTATTGGATAATTGAAATAGTTGATTGTGCAGTTTCTTGTGCTCACTAGATAAAATGAAAGACATACTAGCGAAATAGCTAATACTTTGGTCTTCTGAAACAAAGCAATTGGCTTAAAATAGAACTCGCTGGGTAAAATCACCGATGCGTAAATATCACTGACACAGCAGAATTCGTGAAAGCGTAATTTCGTCGGTTTTCCGTCAAATTTCATACTTTTGTTTTATTACCTTCAGAAAGATTCTCTACCATTTCATAAGAAAAACAAATTTTTTTTTTTTTAATTCTTGGATACTGTGGATGAGTTTCAAATTGGGGGTCTGGATGATGAAAGGGTTAATGAGTGATGTGTATGCATAGGATCTCTTCTCTAGTAGGAGTACCACTCACCGCAGGGTGCTTGATTTACTTGCCATAAATAGTAGGGATAAACCCCCATTCATATAAATTTGCAGATACTGCCACTGGCATTAAACTAATTATGGATATGAATTGTGGAATGTGAAAAATACTGTTAGTGTTATTTGCTTTGTGATTATAATTTATGTAATATGAGTAAATTGATTAGGACAGTGATAAATTGATAATGAAAGTGTAAGTTTGATATTGTTAATATTTAAGCTCTGAATAGCCAAATAATTGAAGTGCTTTGTAATCAAAATAAAACACACAGCATCATTTGTTAGTTTACAAATTTTACCTATAAAATATTTTTATTTTAGCACTTCGACAAGGAGAAATGTGGTCGTCTTAACCATGCCGAGTTCAAGTCTTGTCTTCGAGCTTTGGGTTATGACCTTCCTATGATTGAAGAAGGCCAGAACGATCCTGAATTTGAAGCAATTCTCGATGTTGTTGATCCTAATCGTGATGGTGCAGTCTCTCTTCAGGAATATATGGCATTCATGATTTCCAAGGAAACAGAAAATGTGCACAGCTCTGAGGAAATTCAGAATGCTTTCCGTGCTATTGCTGCCGGAGACCGCCCTTACGTCTTGAGAGAGGAGCTATATCAAGTAAGTTTAAAACCTTTATGTTCATAAATATCTGTTGATAAGATGACCATTTCTTACATATGTCATAGCAACAAAATTTCATACAATTGGTATAGATGCTATTAATTTCATTGTTCCTACAGAACCTTACCAAGGAAATGGCAGACTACTGTGTGGGTCGTATGAAACCATTTGTGGACCCCAAAACGGGCAATGCAGTTCCTGGAGCCCTGGACTACATAGAATTCACTCACACACTGTTTTCTCAGTAGATAACAGACTTGTAATGCTACAAGTTTTCATTGCTTCTATATAAAATATTTTAAGTTACCATTCTATGTGCACAGAGACTATAACAAATAGAAATATTATGCTATTTATATTAGGCAGCTTTCCTATGATCTGGTTTGTATGATTAGGATCTTCTCTTGGAATTTTGTTCATAGTTGTATCAGATCTGTTAAGATGATTTCATTATAAACTTGCAGATTTTATCTTTAGAAATTTTATTACTTAGAGCATTCATAACGGATTAACACATCTGTGAACAAGAAACCCTTGTCTTACAAACGGGCTCGCGGTAGTTATGAGCATTGCATAACAGCTGTGTTGAGTCATTTTGCTTGAAAACTACTACCCATGTCATGCTCAGAAATGTATATGTAGGCAAAGGGTACTATTCATTTTTCATACCAATAAAATGTAATTGGAAGAGCATTTGCAATCAGCATTCAAATATTTTTTGAATATGTACAAACTTAAATTTATATTAGCCATTTTCTTGTACAATGTTTAGTATCCCAGGACTGGATATCATAGATGTGAATGCTTTGAAAATTGAAATACAAGGTTTATCACCCAGTACCTTTTTTTTACTACTACTACTGATGGCCTTTGAGATTCCCCTCTTCATTTACTAAATATTCACATTTATGGTATCTGGGTCCAGTTGCACTCTGTGGCTTGCATGCACTAATTGTCCACAACTTGCTCTTTATCACATAAATATTGAATCCTATTTAGTTCATAGTAATAGAAAAAAGGCAGCTTCAGTTGAGTACTGATAATGGGTGGTAGCGTGGTGGAGGGTGCTTGAGAATTTGAGAATATCAATCTCCATTGTGCCGAAAGTGATTAGGAATCAGTCATTGCCTTGTTATTCCCATTCCCATATTAAAGGTTAAATAAAAAAATTTTTATTTATTTATTTCAACCTATTTTATATCATTGCATTGTTATAATGCTAAAATTCTCCTTATGTTAATAGATTGGGAACTGTTGAAATTTACTCTGAAAGTGGCTCTTTTCTATGCATAGGGAGGGAAAGGTAATTACAGTCTCCCTCACCAGGGCATCCACTGTATGCAAATACTATTAAATGCTGCATTGATGTTTCACATGCAGTGACACCTGTATACTCTTATAGCAGTGCTGTTGTGACATCTTCAATGCCATAAAATACAGTATATGATCTGCACTAAATTAATATATCAAATACCAGTTTTGTATAGGTATATTAAAAAAAATGCACAAACTTTGCAAAATTTATATTTCAGAGTATTAAGTTGCAATTTCCCTTTAAAATATATACATAAAACAACAAAATTAATAAAATGTTAAATATGACTGCAATACATACATCATTACTGTTTATTATATGAAGAATAATCATGCAAATGATGTAAAAAGAAAAAGTGTGCTCTGTTAATAGCAGAAACTTGTCTCCCCAATTTCAATGAATAATTACAATACAAAACTAAGGCCACAAAACTTTCAGGATAAGCATTCTTCTAGGCAGACTACCATAGTTAAAAAGTTTGTCTGAATCATCATTTATAGAAAACAATTTGTACTAACCTAATACATACCTGACTAACATGAAAACAGGAAAAGACATCCAAGATACTGTATGCATTGTCACATTACAAACTATATTCCATTTACGAATTTTTACTTGAAAACAAGTGTTAGAATGTTGTCACATCAATTTCCTATACATTATTATTATTCACAAAATACGCTCAACCGGTACGAGTCACAAAGCGCCATAAGACTGATGGAAGCTATTGATCGGGGAAATAGTAACTTCGTATATAGTGACAGTCACTGAATATAAATGTGTTTTCTAATGAGAAATTTTTAAAAAATTTTGCCCTTACTCAATTCATGAAGAGGTTTGCAGACAAAGAATCACACATTCAAATAGGTTATTACAAATAGATAATTAAGGTACAATCACACGACACTTAAATTCACCATAAGAGGCTGTAGTATTAATTTTTTAAATTTAATGTCAAACTATTTTGACTACAGCAGCTGTTTGTAGAATTTGATTAATACAAATTTAAAAAAGAAGGGAGTCCATTTATCTTAGATTACTTAGTCGTTAGTTTCATATACATGCAATAAATCTGACATGGAGTATTAAACCTCACTGAGTGGTCAATATTATAATTATGGGAAAGAGCCAATATCATTAGTCATACAGTGCATTGGGAATGGGAAGCATTAGTTTTTTTTGGGGAGGGTGACTCCTGTTCCTCTAATAAAGAGCCCTTGCCAGCATCAAGGTATTCTTTTGAAGGGTGAGCAGCCAGTAGGCAATCTTAAAAAGGAAAAGAAACATTAACTGAAAGGGTAATATTTCTATCAAAATTTGAAACAATAACTATCAGTTGGTTACTAGACCACATATGTGGATCAGTACAAGGTTACCTACCTACAGTGCAGATGTCAAAAAAAAACAGCAGCCTAAATTATCCCCTGCTATAAGAGCTCAGGCATGTAAAATATCGAAGATTAAGCGAGTCAGTATGAAAGTGCATATATGCTATAAGCAATAGTTTTACCATAAAAAATTATGCTTTTAAGAAAGCATGGAGAAATTTACTATGTGCTGTAATTTCTAAATTTACTTCTATGAATAATGTAGAAAAAAAAGGAGGCCAAGTAGAGGCACTATGACCAACAAAGTCTATTCACAATGTCTTACACATTGCACCATACATCACTGTTGAAAGTGAGCAGACCCAATACACAGCATGTTCCTAAACCATACACCAAATAGTATACAAATGAAACATCATGAATTATGTTAGTCAAGAATGTACTGGGTAAAACTGGGTTGTTAAGTGATATCACATCTTCCTATCCAGTACAGTATGTCATTTTAAGATTGAAGATACTCAGTTACAAGTTCTATAAGTAACACTATTTTGTAGTTTTAGTCAAGTCAGCCTCGTCTAACACAACTTCATATATATTTTCACAAAAGGTTTATTATAAAAATTGCATTATTTGTTCTTATTGTGTAATATGGCAGTAGATACTTTCATTTCTAAATAATAGCTAACATTATTTTTCTGTAAGAGACAATTCAAGGATACGCTTTAAGGTCTCTTCTTCCTGCCTTCGACGTGCTTCCTCCTCTTCCTGATGACGCTGTGACAGTGAGAGTGCCATAGCCATTTCAGAGTCCAATATACTGCCTCCTGGAGTGATTGCTAAGCCTCCTGGAACAGCTATATCCCCTTCTGGCTCAATCTGGAAATTACTTTCAGTGTTACCTGCACCAGGAAGTTGTGGGAGTCTTGTACCCATGCTCAGAGCAAGAGATTCTTCTATGGCTCTGAAAACAAAAAATAGAACTTTATTTTTAATATCTTCCATTTTTATATATACAGATGAAAATGGCATGTAAATAAAAATTAAGTCAAATGAATTGAATAACATTGGGGGAAAAAGATGAAGTTCCTCTGATGCTAAAAAAAAAACAAAGAAAAAAATTTAGGTCTCAAAATTGTAAAAAACGACTGGTTTAGTGCTTAATTTTGACCATAATAATAATATAAAAAATGACAATGTAATTGTAGGTGGTTGCAATGATGTTAGGTTTAATAAAATACTCATATAGGAGGGCCCTGCTTTATTGTACTCTGCTTCATGGCAATTCGCCAATACAGACATTTTAAATTATACCAAAAAATTAATTTATATGGTTCCTGATCTGCTATTACGACATCTGCGTGCCACCCATCTACTTTTAGTTTGTTTATGTCCTCTATGAGCTCCATGTCTTTCCTGATTATGTCTGGAAACTTTCCATAGTTTCAAGTGTTTTAAAGTTATTGCATATTTTATATACAGCCTCTCCTCACTTAGCAACGTACTCATTTACTGACGACTCAGACTTATGACAGGCTCTCTGACCAGTAAGCAAACCTAAGTAATGCAGGAAGCCTCTCATTACGCAAAGCATTTCATGGAGATATACTACTACAATACTAGTATGGGTATGGAGATAATGACTTAAAAATGGCACAGAAATTTTTATAGACAATTCAGTATATACCATTTCTATATCCATATTAAAGTGGAGATGGCCGGTGTTAAGCCACTGATTAGTTCCAAAGTGCCAATATTATATGTGTGGAACATTATGTTGAAACGACTCAGAAAATTGTTAAGTTGGGGACCTATTATAATATAAAAGGGTTTACTGTATTCAAATGGAAAAAGAGAAACAAAGGAAAATAGCAAAGGACCATGCCAGCACTTTATCCTAATGTGTGTGATGAAACTGCAACCTTACCGCTGCAGCTGAGCATCCTCAGCCGTGTGCAGAGACAGATGTGCTGGTGTGTTTGCATGGGATACTTGTATCGAATTAAGTCTGAAAAGACAAAAAAAATTAGCAATAATCTCCAAGGGAAGAGACCATCATTATCACCACCTCTTTCAATTTCATGGAGTGACAAAAGTCATAATAAAAATATAAATAATGAGTGTGTCAATACTGAAAGTAATACTTAATTTTTCAGAAGAGTTCCACAGCATTATACACAAGCCATTTTAGTGGAAGATATTCAAGTGAATTACCAGAAAAATCTGAATTATTAATTTCATTTCAAGATATCAACTTAGATAAGAGGTTCACTGAAACTCCTCATACATTTAAATGCACATCACACCTTTTTCACTACCCTTGTTTTAGCCTTCCCTTCACTAATCATTCAATCCACAAACATTCAGTCTTAAGTCACACATTACAGAACTTTAATTTTCCTATATTATTCCTTACTGTATCTATCCTACTTGAGCTAGATGCTTTTCAGAGAATTCATCCCTACTACAGTGTCTGACAGGATTGTAGATCTACAATCCTGTCAGACACTGCAACTTCTTGGGATCTTAATACTTGGGAATTCTTCGCTTGCCTAACCCTTGGGCACGACCTACTTCCACACTGAACAAATGTGACACCACCTACGACTGCTGCACCTCTCCTGCCTACGGTTTATAAGCTCCTTCTCCGCACTTATGCCGTATTCTATTCAAGATTGATGGACTGACCACATCGACTCAAGGCTGAGGGACTGATTACCTCATTCTCCTCCTGTTCTTCAAGTTTCTCCTTTGTATGGACTGATAAAGCCACTATGTGGCGAAACGTTTCCTCAATAAAGATACCCAAGAGTTGCACATGTGTCTAATTTATCAACGTGTCGGTTCTCTGAACCATTGATCTACAAACATGTATAAAGTTGCAGTATAACCTCTGGACTTCTGTTGCTTACACTTCTTGATATAAATCCCAATAATCTATTTGCCTTATTATGTACGCTTAGGCATTGCTGTCTTGGTTTAAGGTTGCTGCTTACCATAACCCCCAAGTCCTTTTTGCAATCTGTATGGCTAAGTTTTACATTATTTAACTTTATAAGTGCTAGGGTTATGGACACTCCCGAGCTTCAGAACCTTGCATTTATCTATACTGAACTGCATCTGCCACTTTTCTGTCCACGAATCGAGTTTGTCTAAATCCTCCTGAAGTTCCGAGACACCAACGTCTGAATCAATTTTCCTACCTATCTTCACGTCATCAGCAAATTTCCTTATGTCACTAGTAATTCCCTCGTCAAGGTCATTTATATATATTATAAACAACAATGGGCCTAAAACTGATCCCTGTAGAATGCCACCTGTTACAGATCCCCACTCAGATTTAACCCCATTCATGCACACACTCTCCTTCCTATTAGTGAGCCATGACTCGATCCATGACAGCACTTTTCCCGCAGTGCCATGAGTGGCCACTTTCCTCAACAGTCTCTGATGTGGTACTCTATCAAAAGCCTTACTAAAATCTAAATAAACAATATCGAATTCTTTATCCTGATCAACGGCCTCAAAGGCTTTGCTGAAGAAGGTTAATAAATTAGTTAGGCAGGAACGGCCCCTGGTGAATCCATGTTAAGTATCATTAATCAAATTATGCCTATCGAGATGGCTTCTTATATTATCAGCTATAACTGACTCTAGTAATTTGCCTACAATTGAGGTTAGGCTTAGTGGGCGGTAATTTGACGGTAATGACTTGTCCCCTGCTTTAAAAATAGGAATTACATAGCCATCTTCCACACATCAGGCACTACACCTGTTTGAAGAGATAAATTAAAAATATTAGTTAAAGGTTCACAGAGTTCCATTTTGCATTCCTTAAGAACCCTTGAAAAAAGCTCATCAGGACCAGGCGATTTATTTTGCTTCAAACGGTCTATCTGTTTGATAACCATTTCGCTAGTGACTGTGATATTGCATAATTTACCTTCTTCAGGCCCACTAAAAAACCTAATTATTGGGATATTATTAGTGTCTTCCCAAGTAAAAACTGAGAGAAAATAATTATTAAAAATAGAGCACATTTCATTCTCTCTGTCAGTAAGAACTCCATAGTTATTTTTAGGGGGACCTATCTTATCTCTAACTTTTGTTCTATACACCTGGAAAAAACTTTTAGGGTTAGATTTCGAATCCCTAGCAACTTTAATTTCATAGTCCCGTTTAGTTTTTCTTATCCCCTTTTAACATCCCTCTTAATGTCAATATACTGATTCATAACAAGACCCTCACCTCTTTTGATATGCCTATAAATGCCTTATTTCTGCCCTAAAAGATATTGGAGCCTATTATTCATCCATTCTGGGTCATTTCTATTCGATCTGATTTCTTTATACAGGATAAATGTTCTTCGAGCAGCATGTATAGTGTTCAGAAAACTCTCATATTGATAGCTTTCTTCGTTAACCCAGTCCACAGATGACAAGGGTTCTCTAAGCCCATTGTAATCTGCTAAGCGAAAATCTGGGACCGTTACTGAATTATCCCTACTATCATACTTCCATTCAATGCTAAAGGTAATTGATTTATGATCACTTTTGCTGAGTTCCTCTGTAATTTCTAAATTATTAACAAGGGTTTCCTTGTTTGCCAGAACCAAATCAAGCAGGTTATTTCCCCTTGTAGGTTCTGTCACAAACTGCTTCAAAAAACAATCCTGAACTACTGCTAAGAAATTGTTAGATTCTAAATTCCCAGTCAAGAAATTCCAATCAATCTGACTAAAGTTGAAGTCCCCTAGAATTACTATGTTATCATGCCTTGTGACCCTCCTTTCTTTTTACCCTTCCTGCTCCTTTCTGTTCTTCCACTATGCCTATTACTGTCCTCGTTACTATTAAGATTTATAATTTCAAAGCCTAAATCCAGGTTTCGACACTCTTTATTTTCCATTTCTAAACCCATACCTCTAACTAGTCCTAGTTTAAAGTCCTAACAACACCCTCAACTGAGCTAGCAAGTAAACCCACACCTGCCCTGGTTAAGTGAACCCCATCCCTGGAATACATGTCATTTCGGCCATAGTTGTCCCAGTTGTCGATGAATGGTCCTGCATTATCCTTACAGTGTTTGTCCAGCCAACAATTAATACCAATTGCTCTGGACAACCATTCATTTCCAACACCCCTTCTTGGCAAAATGCCACATATAACAGTGCCCCCCCCCCTTCTTCCTAATTATGTCTATTGCTGTCCTGTACCTTCTAACTAAATCCTCACTTCTATGCTTGCCTACATCATTGCCTCCAGCACTGAGGCAGATAATAGGATTGACCCCATTATCGTTCATGATGTTGTCAAGCAGGCTAACAATATCCTCCATTCCAGCCCCAGGAAAGCAAACCCTCTGTCTCCTACTCCTATCCTTCAAGCAGAAGGCCCTATCCATGTACCTAAACTGGCTATCCCCAACAACAGCGTTTTTACCTTCCTTGGTGTCGTTCATCGTAACATTCCCAGTAGTTGACTCACATTCGTCAGGTAGCACGGAGAATGCATTAGATGTTTCCACAACAGTTTCCACAGCAGTCTCTTTCTTCATGGTTTCTACCTTTCCATTCATCTTCTTGATCACCAACTTTGTTCCATGCTGTCCAGTCACTGTCCAGGTTCCTTTCTTGACCTGAGGACTCGCAACAGATGGACTACTACGAATCCTCTTGTTTTCCTCAGTCAATCACCGTATCTCTATCTTCGCTATCCTCAATTCCTCCTTAAGCTGCTGGTAAAGTTGCTTGATGGAGGGCATCTTGGTTCAGTCCACAGAGAGCACACAAGACACGTCTTCAGAGTTATTAAGTACAGGTCACTGCTGAGTTAAGCACAGCTCACCACTTGTGGGATGGATTGTGAAGGACCAGCGTAGTATGGGCCAACAGGCCTGCTGCAGTGTATTATTATTAGTATGTATGTTCTTTCTTCTTCTTTCAACACACCAGCCGTATCCCACTGAGGCAGGGTGGCCCAAAAGGAAAAACGAAAGTTTCTCCTTTTACATTTAGTAATATATACAGGAGAAGGGGTTACTAACCCCTTGCTCCCGGCATTTTAGTCGCCTCTTACAACACACATGGCTTACGGAGGAAGAATTCTGTTCCACTTCCCCATGGAGATAAGAGGAAATAAATAAAAACAAGAACTAGAAGGAAAATACAGTGGACCCTCAACCAGCAATTGCATCGATTAACGATAAATCTGACTAGCGATTCATTTAAACGCAAAAATTTTGCCTCGACTAGCGCTTAAAAACCCGACCAGTGCTTTTCGTTCCGTACCATAAGCGTCCACTTTGGCCTGAGCACGCCTCACTTGTCCCTTTGGTGCCAGTGTTTACAAGCCAGCCAGCCACCGCGGTTGCTTCCAAACATACAACTGGAACATTTCATATTATCACAGTCTTTTTAGTGATTGCACCTGCAAAATAAGTCACCATGGGCCCCAAGAAAGCTTCTAGTGCCAACCCTACAGCATAAAGGGTGAGAATTACTATGGAGATGAAGAAAGAGATCATTGATAAATATGAAAGTGGAGTGCGTATCTCTGAGCTGGTCAGGTTGTATAATAAACCCCAATCAACCATCGCTACTATTGTGGGCAAGAAAACGGCAATCAAGGAAGCTGTTCTTGCCAAAGGTGCAACTATGTTTTCGAAACTGAGATCGCAAGTACTCGAAGATATTGAGAGACTGTTATTGGTGTGGATAAACGAGAAACAGATAGCAGGAGACAGCATCTCTCAAGCGATCATATGTGAAAAGGCTAGGAAGTTGCATGACGATTTAATTAAAAAAATGCCAGCAACTAGTGATGCGAGTGAATTTAAGGCCAGCAAAGGTTGGTTTGAGAGATTTAAGAAGCGTAGTGGCATTCATAGTGTGATAAGGCATGGTGAGGCTGCCAGTTCGGACCACAAATCGGTTGAAAAATACATGTGCAGGACTTCAAGGAGTACATAGACAGTGAAGGACTGAAACCTGAACAAGTGTTTAATTGT